CGCGAGCAAGGTCTGGTACGGTGCGACACGTGTGGAGAGGTGTTCGCGGCCTCGAAGAGAGCACGCGCGGCCCACGTGCCACTGTGTGGGCAATACACGTGCCGGAAAGACAACCTAGCGGCGCGGCGGGAGGAGTGCCGGGCGTCGACAGGGGGCCGGTACGCGCGGGAGGCGGCCTACAAGGAGCTCCCCACGAGTACGGAGTGGCCCACGGCGCCCGCAACGGACCCACTACAGGACCCGTGGCTGCAGGCCAAAACTCCGACACGACAGTACCTCCACAAGAGGGAGTGGCCCAATTGGTTGGACGTCTGTCGGACCGTTATGCTGGGGTACAACGCCTCCGCGCCGGATGAGAGGTGCCGCAAGCAAGTGGCAATACTGGACCTGGTGCGCAACCACTTGCGCCTCCCGGAGCGCCACCGGACAGATGCCGATCGCAGGGCACAAGAGGCGGCGACGACGCCAGCACCCCTCCAACGGCCGGATGGTACGGATGAGGACGGCGAGGAACCGCAGGGGGCACCCCACCTCTCCGCTGCGGACCGCCGCAAGGTCAAGCGTGTGGAGACGCTCTGCACACTGCAGGCCACCGGTCGGGCGGCGGCCCTCCTTACAGCGGCGGATGCGGAGCCGGTGGTGTTCTCGCAGGAATTGGTGGAGAGCATGAACGCCCTCTACCCCCAGGAGGACCCGGCGACATACCCGGAGCCGGCGGTCAACGCCCCACTGGTCACTTTCGACAGCAAGGAGGTGGCCAAGATGATTGGAAGTCGGCTGACGCGTGGGGCGGCACCGGGCCTGGACGGCTGGACGCGGGAGCTCATGTACCCCCTCACCAAGGACAAGGCGCTCCTCGCCGAAATGACGGCTGTCTTGACGGATATGGCCAACGGCTACGTCGCGCCGGAGGTGGCCCATCGGTTGCGGGCGACAAGCCTCACCGTGCTCCGCAAGCCAAACAAAAAGTTCCGCCCGATCGGAGCGGAATGTGTCTGGGCGAAGGCGATCTCCCTCATGGCGGTCACCGTGGCCATGCCGGCCCTCAAAGCGCGGTTCAAGAACCTCCAGTACGGGGTCGGCAACAACATCGAGCTGGCCATCGAAAAAATACGCCGCGACTTCCTGATGAAGGGCAGTGTAGCCATGCTGGACGGAAGGAACGCATACAACGCCATCAGCCGGACGGCTATCCTCCAGGCCACCTACAACGACGCGGCCTGGAGCCCGCTGTGGCGGGTGAGTCGGCTACTCCTCGGCACGGCTGGAGTGGTGGGCTTCTATGAGAATGGCGAGATGCGCCACGCATGGAGGTCCACCAGAGGGGTGCGGCAAGGGATGGTCCTGGGGCCGGTGCTGTTCTCCATTGGCACACTGGCGGCGC